TGAGGGCTATCTGTATATGAACAAGGAGCAAACCCCAGAGTCACTAGCACTGATAATGTTATCTAGTCAGGCAATGAAATGTCTTCAAGCAAACATTCACTCACAGAGGACACCAAGGACTCCCCAGTTCAACCCAGAGCAACATATCTTTTATATTGGAACCTTAGAGAGACTTATGGTGATCTCCAAAAGTGGAGCTGCATATTGAATAATTTGCCTCATTAGCTTTTTTTTTAAGTTTAAAGCTTCCAAATCAACTCCCAAGAACTGGAAGAATTTTAGATTTTCTTGATCTGAACATCCCATTCTGTAATTCAAATATAGGGGAAAATATCGTTCATATTAAATTTTGAATTATTTAAATCAGCTCTAAAAACATTTCTTCTGTTTATGTAAGGAACCAGTGACGTTCCTAATAAGGAGTCCAGGAAAGAGGAGATTCTTCTCAATCAAGGCCATCTACAAATACCTTCTGTTTCTAGCAGTGATCATAGAGCACTTCCTCCTGAACCAGAACCAGATCTGAGTCACCATGAGCAAATTAGTAATGTATTTGGAGAAATTTTAGTAGAAAGCGAGAATGGCAAATTTTTAGAACTCCTCGGCCACCAAAACATCAAGACAGCAAACAAAGTTGAAGAAATTGAACGAGAGGAACTCTTAAATGATGACTTAAAGCAGGATGACCAGGAAACTAATCAAAATGGTTAGTATAAAGATTGCTTTCTCTGTTTGTATCAGGGTTGCAGTATTTGAGGAAGTGGTTTAATGTTTATGGAATTGTTATGTTATTATAGATCGGGGTGTCAAACTTGATTTGATTGAGGGTTGCATCAGGGTTGTGTTTGACCTCGGGGGGCTGGGAGAGCCTGGCCAGGGGGCCTGGCCGGCATGAAGTCACTCGTGTCAGGGGGCGCCTGTGGTGGCCCGAGTGCTCTGCCAGTGAAAAGAGCCTCCCAAACTCTGTTTTCACTTGGGATAGCATCCTGCAACCCTCTGCCAACGAAAACGGAGTTTGGGAGGGCCAAGTGCCGCCCTCACGAACTCTGTTTTTGCTGGCAGAGGCACCACAGGCTGGTCCTTCACTATTTCCAGGGGAGCCCCACGGGCCAGTTCTAAGCACCCTGTGGGCCGGGACTTGAGTTTGACACCCATTATAGATGGTATTCAATGTAAATAGTGTAATTTGATTTGTTACATGATCCAAAGAGAAACCAGAATGCATGGTTTCATTCTGCTTGATCAAACTGTTATGTTTGATTCTGGCTCAAGTGTGATGTAAATCCATCTATGATAAGCATTTGGCAAACCATAGTTAAGTACAATATGGAAATCCAAACTTGATTTATGATTTCATGATGCATATGATTAATTACATTAGTCTATTTTTTTCTCTTAATATGTGATATTGTGGAGCAAAACTTATGTTTGCAATAAAATCAGAATACTGTTTTTCAGTTTGCATGAAGTTGTATGCATGAAATTATTGTTTGACTTGTTTTCACAGGTGAAATCAAAAGAGTGGGCCAGGATAATAAAAGGGTCGATTACAACTTCGATACAAATGAGGCAGAATCCGAAACAGATAAGCAGGCTGCTCTCATTGGCCAGCAAAATAGCTTCAATGGTAATTTTTTGTAATTTTCATGTTCTGGCATAGAAAAATTGCATTATAATTTGTTTCACTTTTAATTAATTTTAATTTCATTTAAATCTTGCCTGGAAGAAAGGCTTTACAAATGAAAGTTTTCTACAATGTGGAATGTGAATGATGATTTCCCAAGTAAGAGTAATATGAGTAACATAAAGATGACTTAATTACTCCAATTTAACTATTTTTCCTCCTTTTTTAGTTCAGAATCATGAAGATCCCAAAATGGAAAATAGCTTATTTAAGCTCAAGGCAGCCCAACAGCAGAAATTGTGAACAGCGATTTTAGTTTTCGACACTTGTTAAACTATTTAGGCAAATCCATTCAAAACTTTCACAAAAATCAGGGGATTTAAACCAGTTCTGATTCCTCTCCATCAGGAAGATTATCTGCAGACTTAATAGGGTGATTTTACATCTATCAGGTAGAGTATTCCAGTGTTGCAGGGTGGAAATAAGCCCCTGAAAATTTATGAAATCAACCTGTTACTCATCTACCAGGTATAGTTTCCTTTTCAAATTATAACAGTACCACCTTAGATACAAATTATTTTGCTCTAAAAATTGAGAATATTGCACAGACTGCAGTTTTTTCTGTTCAGATCTCTTCCATCATTATTTATAAACCAAACTTAGAAAGTCAGTTTTTATACTTTTCTACCGAATCTTCCTTCAGAAAGAGAATATCCTAAGCAGCTTATTAAATTCCTTTAAGTGCTTTGCTTTGAGGGGCCTGCCTAGTACAGTGGGATATGATATCAAAGAAATGCACATAAAAGTGAGTTACATACCTACATCTTTTTTTTATTCAAATGCTTTTTTTTGAATTGTAGAATGATTTAAGTATTAACCAAATGCAGGTGTAAAACAGGCCTTACACATTCCGGAATTCTAATACACTAGAATAGCCAGCTATTAATTTGTACATGAAAAAAATGAGCTCCAAATGTTTTGCTGCTTCATAGCATATCTTATTTGGTATAAATAAAAGAACTGCAGTATCATTTAGGGCATGATGCCAATTTGCTGTCAACACTGATTATAGCACTTTAGCCCTGATAGAATAGAATAAGTGCAATACAATTATTTTGTATGACAAAGAGATTTACAGATTACTATAGTATTTTGTTAAATGCAAATACTGGGTTTATTTTGATCAAGTTCTTGATTATAAAATAAGTGGGTTTTCAAGAGTCTTATAATTTGGTTGTGAGGTTACTATCAATAAAATACGCCACTCATTGGGAACAGTGTCCTGTAATGTATGTTTTGTTTCTTAGTCTTTAATTATACTTGTTAATCTGTCAAAAATGTTAATTTTCATTGGCATAAACTTAACATTACTTTTTTCATAGATGTACTTGCATAGGTTAAGATGATCTCACTAAAGGCAATCCTTGGTATCAATAAAGGAGAATATTTGTAGCTCAGGGTTGAAATAAGTGGTCCTTGGTGTGCTCTTTGAGCTTGGTTATTTTTTGCAGATGTTTCATTACCCATACTAAGTAACATCATCAATGCAAGGTAATCCTTGGGTTCGATGACCGAAGTTTTCATGGGTACTGGTTCTCAAAAGTGTGATTGTCACAGCATCTCCAAGGCAATGTGATTGCAATTTGGGCCTTTGGCACCTGGATCACAATTATGATGGCTGCAGCACACTGTGGTCACATGATCACAATTTGTGACTTTCCCTGCCAGCTTCCCACAGGTAAAATCAATGGGAAAGCCAGGTCGTCACAAGTTGTCCCCACTGCTTTTTCACTTGCCAGCACTCCATATAGCACTCATTTGTGGCACCTGCCCTTGGCATCCATCCAACCACTTGTAGGTCATGCTCACCAGCCTGCCCATGTCATGTTCATGTGAGGTCCTTGTTTAATGGCCTGCATGGTCCTGGAGTTACAATGGCAACTGAACTGCTAGGATTGCTAAGCGATGTGGCCAAGGGTGGGATTCTACCGGTTCTGTCTGGCTCTGTAGAACCGGTAGCTCTGAAGAGCAGCAGACATAGAACCGGTTCTATGTCTCTGATGTTTTGACCCACCCGCCTGCCCGGGCTCTTACCTGACCTTTATTTCCTGCTTTTTCAACCTCAG